CGACCCGCAGAAACCTATTGGCACGCAGAAATGCCCCCATTGCCGAATTATTCAGTCACTATTTTAAATCAACATTCAGGATTGACGCGATCGCAGAATTGCGAGGTTTATCTGTAAGTAAAGTAACATAGACACCATAGAAAAGCATAGCAAAGTTAATTACGGTATTGTCTTAATAATAAATATCAGCATCCCGGTATCGATAATATTATTACCATTCACTTAATTTGTGATGGTAAATTTACAAGTAATAAGTAATATGAGAGCCAACGCAAAAGGTTAAAAATTAGAACAATAATAATTTGGGTTTTAAAATCAATTCTTAATGGTTTTAACAGCTGTTGCCGACGTGAAAACTCGAAATATAAACTTTAATGTCCGTCGACCCGAAATAATTGATACTTGCAAAAAACAGAAAGGACTGTAATATAGATTATATATCCCCGCAAAAACGGTCACGTTGACAAAAACAATCAGCAATTATGACGAAATTAACCAGTGAAAAACTTTTTATAGCCGATTTTTCAATGTCTTTATTAATTTCCAAAGGAAGTATCGACCGACGTTCTGGACCTCCCGTTGTGTTTAAAAAATATTCGTTATTCGACTATTCGGTATTCGGTAAAAATATTCGAATTATTCGATTCGAAAAAAATATTCAATTTTGCCAACCCCTAGACACCACCAATCCATAGTAATATGAATGCCTCTAGGTGGCATTGGATTAAATTATTCTCTAAATTATTTTGCTAATTTGATTCTCGTTTTTCATCGATCTATGCAATTACAGATACAATGTATTTCTGAACCATTTTTATTTAGTTTAATATTGATAGTCCTGACGGTTCCTTTTAAAATAATGGTGCGTAAGAAAAAGGAGGGTAATTACAATAATTAGTTTGAAAGAGAATCAGAAGATTATGCGTTTCGTTCGATTTATAGGAACCGAATCGATTTTTTTTATAAATCTTTGTGAATCCAGGACATCGTTCAAATTGTTGTATAACGAAGTCAAAATGAATCATGAAATCGAAGTATTTTCTTTTTCCTTAGGTAGATTGGATTATTTTTTCCAGACAAATCCAATGGTGGTGGTTTTAAGTTGCGCTTCTCTTCGGTTACCAATATTGCGGGACAACAATGTCCAGATGTCCCCGAAAGGAGGGGTGTCTGTTCATCTGCAAAATGGGATTGATTCTCTGAGACGAGACAACGTCACTCGATCTTTAAAGTGTGTCGTACTGACTTAGGCGTGCACCTGCCACGGAATCCAGTCTGGCTAACACGAAAGCGGAACCGCCACAAGATGCGAAATATTTGACAATGCCATCAAACAAAAATAGCGTATCCCATGAAGCTCAAGGTAATTTGCTTAAACATACAGTACCCAATACAAAATATTTTTGAATTTCATCTCCATTATGTTTGATCTCTATTATGTACATTATTAAAAACTATTATTCAATGTTTGTTGGGGACATGTCTTGTTAGTAGTTTGGATTGTGTAAGAACAAATTAAAATAATTACCACTGTTTCTCATGGCAAAAAAGTTTCCGGCATTCGAACACCAATCCTGAACGAATTATGTTTGACTGCTGGCACACTCAGGTATCACTGTATATACACATGATGTGCATGCAGCATGTAACCATTGGGCGAACCACGGCCTCACGACCAATTACCATTCCAGGTCGGGTATGGGATTACCGTAGGTATTTATTTATTTTCGGAAGCATGGACTTAATGGTGGGGGAAGCTATAACCTGCCAGTGGTTATGTGAACCACCCTACGGCGAGTAGCGCAGCGATCCTCTCGCACATAACTTTCCCCGCATGGGATTCGAACCTGTGAACCCACGCAGGGTAAACAGGGGTGTGGTGGCGAGCATATTCCTATATTCCTTACGCTTACCACAATGAGCCACACCGCCGCGCCATATGGAGTCTCTCTTACTTCTGTACCGGTACCGTGAAAGTGCCTAACTTCGGACAGTCTCTAACTTCGGACAAAAATTTTAAACGGCCATATCTTGACTAAAAGGCGTCTTAAATTGCCAATTTTAATTGTAATATTATAGGTAGCGCTGTTATATTAAAATTACATAATTATTTATTTGGTTAAAAAACAGAAATTTTGCCGAAAAATGACTGCCCGGTATTCAACGGCACAGAGCATCGTTCCTACTTAAACTATCATCGTCAAAATGCCATCATTCGGTAGAGGGCAATAACAATGTATATAATTTATCAGAGTGATCGCAAGATGTCGTACGAGATTTGAATAAAACTAAAGTTCTGAATTATAATTTCCGTAAAAATATTGAGATTTCACGCTGCGTCAAATGTTACGTCAACCTCACGTAGATCATTTTTGACGTCAAAAATCTAATATATGAAAACGTCCATATGGCACTGTATACTGACCTAACAATTATTTTATGCCTTGAAATGGCAGTTATTGAATACAGCCTGGGTGAATTTTATTCACTCAAAGTGAAAAATTAATTTAATTTCCAACAAAAATTCTGGGACCTATCGTAACATCAACATCAACAAAGCTATCTGTCGAGAATATTAATATTTCAAAGACTTACAATACAAGCCCGTTAAAATATTTCATTGTAGATTGAAACGGTTTGCATCAGATAACTTTACGTATGTATTTCCTGATTAGAATGACTAACGTGTTATTATAATCTGATATAATAAAAATACCGAAAGAAGGATGTAACAATAAATGGTCGAGTTATTGATGAAAATATGGTAGTTTTGTCCGAAGTTAGGCACTTCTACGGTACGGCAGTACGGTGCTTGTTTCAGATGCATGACTAAGAGATTACCATAAACCAAGCAACCAAACATACTGATATAAAATACCACACCAAAATCTGCCTGGTGCTGTCAGCAATACCGTTACTACCGGTAATCCTCAAACACAAAAATACTGGCAGATATGTTAATCTGACTACGCTATCCAAAAATTACGTCACTACAACATCACAATCACGTCATAGAGCTTGCCAAATATACGTATGATCGCTCGAAATGGCATTGGCGCCTACGATAAAGAACTGACTGACGTTATCGATCTCTCTCCTATTGGAATCGTTGCGACGAATAAAATAACTGTTTGAGTTCAGGTGCTCATTTGCGCGTCTTCAGTACAGCACACTATCCAAATTCCAAGAATTTGTCTCCATTTGGCACAATGAAACAAACACTCTATGTGTCTCACAAACGAGGGGCGTCTGGGACCACGTCAGATGCTTCATATCGCGCGATGCTTGTCTCAATAATAATCCAAATTAATCACAGCCGTCACATGACCAAAATTGCTGTTTTTTGCTAAAAACTCTTTAATGCTACTGTGAAAAATTTTTTTCCTTCGGTAAATCGGATTATTTTTTCCCAAGGAAATCAATGATGACGTTACTAGATTGCGCTTTTTTGTAGTATTTGGCGCCACTTCATTTTACTGTATTATTACCAGTATTGAGGGACAACAATGTCCAGACTAGGGATTGTAAATTTCAGAATTCCGAATCGAATCGATTCGAATCAACATCAATTGGAATCGATTCAAAGCAAATTAAGGAAAAGGGGCTTGCTTCTATTTAGAAAAAAAATTAATAGACAACACAAGGCAATTGCACGACACAGCGGCGCTGACATTTCCAAAGCCGTGGCACTCCCAGAGTCGTTATATTTCATGTTGGTAGCAGCTTTCGAGGGACCAATGGTTTCGCTCAATTTTGTTCGACTACTTAAAATGTTACAAAGTTTCACAAATATTTTAAACGTTTTTTCAAATTATCTACATAACATTATTATAATAAAACATCATAGCTTTATACCTTATTAAAAAACATGTCATGCGATGCTTCCATCGTTATCATTACTTCCTTTAAAATCATGACGCCCACGGACCTACGGTAGACTACTAACTAGCGATCATCATTTGGATAAATTTTGAAGATCAATTTTAGAAGAAACAATCGCTGTACACTCGGTAATGTTTGCAAACATAATTGTATGTGAATAAAATTTGTAACTGAGTATACCTTTATGTAACAAAAAATAAATTTATTTGGTAGTTGATACATCCATTCAGTGTGTTTTTCTAGTAACTTTCTCAATTCTTTAAGCTCATTTTTGTTATTATATCAAAATATATACTCTATTTCTTCCAAATTTGAAGAGAGTTAACAATAATATGATGATATACTAAATAGAATCAGAATCGGAAATATTTTATCTGGTATAGTTTAGTACCACATGCACTTCTAGTTGGGCTGGCTCAACAATTTTTGCATATGTCGATCCTAACCCCCACCGGACCACGTCACCGAAAAATTACGTCATTTCGATGTCACAGTGGCGTAATAAGGCCCACCAAAGTATGCAGATGGTCGTCCAAAACGGGAAGATGAGCACCCGAAATCGAACAAGTTATTTCTCTCGTTTTCTCGTCACAACGATCACGATAGGAGAGAGATCGCCAGCTTTAGCGAGTTCGTTATCGGTGGTGCAGATGCAATTTCGGGCGATCGTAATTATACTTTGGCAAGCCATATGACGTGATGGGGACGTCGTAGTGACGTAGTTTTTGGGTGGCATAGTCAGGTGGGGGTTAGGAATAACCTATGCGAAATTCGTTATGCTACGCCCAATGGAAGTACCTGTGGTACTGAACTATACTAGACCCCCGTACTGGTCTTGGATGGCAGTTCATATAGTTTGAAGGGCTATATTACGTCACTGTTACCTCGTAATGATGTAGTTCTTGGATGGTGTAGTCAGGTGGGGGTTAGGATTGATACGTGAAAAAATTTTAATGCTAGGCCCACTAGAAGTATGTTAGGTCAGTAGGTACGAAACTACATGAGACCCGATTCGCAGTAGATTGCGGTACGGTACCGTAGTGCTGCAATATGCTACTCCACTACCTAGGCCAAATTTAATGAAAATGTATTATCTTCTTAACTTTAATTATACTTACCAAACATGAATTCTGAGGATATATCATCTTGATTAAGTAATCCAATAAAATATCCTTCATCCATATTCTAATTCACAGGTGCAAACGGAGAACATTCGTAGTCACAGAGCAGGTTACAAAACACGAAACGATGAAGCTGCCCTACCAGTTGCGCGCTGAAACGCGCACATACCATGCAAAGACACAGAACACGTGAGTATTAAAAAGGCGCCAATGAGCTGTAAAAGATGACGCTTAAACATTTTTACAAAATCACGATTTTGCACGAAGACTACCGGGACTGTTTTTCTCTATTCTGAAAAACGAACTATTCGAATCTCAGGACAAGTTTAATTTTTCCAACCAGTGAAAAAAATCACTCACACACAAATTACGAGAAAATAATAATTACACAGTTTTACTGGGAAAGGGAAGAAGCGGGGAATCGAGCAGCGACACTCAAGGTTCTAGTATCTAATTTAAAAAAATTATCATTTTGAAACTACTGATGGTGAGTATTGTAAGAATTATCCAACTAACAACAAGATATAGACAATTAGTAGAAATATGTTATTGGAAAGTCACAAGAGGGATGGTCGGGGAATTCCCCAATTCAGCTGAATTACTTGAAGCCGAGTTTTGTAACCGAAATTAGGTGACCTAGCCGTTTGCAAAGTCAAGCGGTAGGATCAGAATATTTCATTTTCATTTTAGAATCCTAATGTTCCGATTCGAATCTGATTTTTTTTAGTCAGTTAGTATATCATAATATTATTGTTAACTTTTTTAGAACTATAGTATGAAGTATGATAAATTAATGTAACAATAATGAGCTTAAACTTAAAGAATGAAGTTACTAGAAAGCACATTGCATGGGAACATGGTATGTGTACCAGGTAAGGGTTCAGGTTGTGCGCCATCTTGCACATACTTCAGGGAGCGCCATTTTTTGTTACATAGAGTTACTTACATTACATACAATGATGTTTGCAAATGTTTTCTTGTTTTAATAATATCTTTGAAGTGGTCGAACGAAATTGAGTGAAACCCTTGATTTCTCTACAGCTGCTACCCATATGAAATATAACAACTCTGACTAGGGAAAGCTGTAATCAGTAAAATTTACTTTTTCACCAAACAGAAAAAAAACTTCATGCAAATAAATATAAAAAAGGAATTTAAATACGGCATTTCAGGGCAAAAGGAATCGCGAAAAACCAAAACTGGTTAACGACACCCGTGAATAAGTCTAACAGAAATATAAACAGAAGAGAGAAAGAAGTCGCTGTAAACGTGAGGAATCGCTTTTGAACAATATTGAGACATTGCTGCTGCGCCGTGCAATTACCAAGTGTTCTGTATATATTTCTTTTAATAGAGTCAAGCCCTTTTTTCTGAAATTGCTCGGATTGATGCTGATTCGAACTCGCTTAGCACAGTGGCTCCCAAACTTTTTAAAACAAATTGCATTACGCACCCCATAAATTTTTATTATTGATTTCCGGGCTTGTGCACTAGAACAAAACATTAGAAAGTCTCAACAAAAAATTAATGCTCCGTATAGTGAAAGGAACAAATGTATATAAAGCGTAACTCTAACGACATATGTGACATCCAGTCTGTTTCGATATTTGGTAAAAGGGCAGTGTCAGCTGCAGTTAGTAAACTTGTGGTGGCATGAATTGAACTCTCTCTGTGATATCACAGGCCCACAGCTCGGGGCATCGTGATTGAAACAGAAAATGAAGAATCAGTGTCTGTAGTGGTGATTACGGAGCAGCAAGAAAGGCGATATTTGTGTGCTTGCAAGTTTGAGCACTTAATTTTTGTATTATCAAACCATCAGCCATATCATAAATATGTTTCGCAGACCCTCCGAAAGTGCTGCCATGATAGACCTTGCGCTCTGATAAAGAGAGTCAGATGCAATAAATCAAATTGACAATTTGATTCGATTACTGCCGGTATGTGGGCTGTCATTGCCCTTGACCGACTAAGGACTGGAATTATTTATTCAATTAAATTCCAAAATTGAATATTAGTATGGCGATTTTCAACCAATCCAATCGAAGATACTAACTTTGCAAAAACATAAAATTTGAATATTTGTGCGAAAAAAGGAGAACCGCATTGCATTAATGATTTGTTCTGGATCTTTGCAAGATCAACACTTCATCGCATTCCTACTTTTGAAAAAGTCTATGCAGCAAATTAACAAGAAAACAAGATTTTTCAACATAGAAGCAGGAACCATCCGAGAAGCAGGAACCATCCGAACCCTAATTTTTCAAAGTTACAAAGCCAAGCCATATATAGCCAAGCCAAATTTAAATTAAGCTGAGATTAACCGCCTTTTGATTGGCGAAGCATCCACACCTGAATTATTTAACAGGATCCTTTTCAGTGGTAACAAAGACAGTTAAATCAAGTCGTTTGCGTTCATGACTATGTATATGTAAGCATATAAAGATATGAACATTTTTAGAACAATAATTGCCACAGGCATTTGAAAAACATATATTTTTCATGCATTGTATTAATTTTGCCGTCACACTCTTCTCGCCATCAGTCCTGGTCACAAGTTTAATATTTTAGATGGAAACACAAGAATGTAGTAGTGTACCAGCCTAGTAAAGGTATTTTTATTCTTAACAATTTCAATATATGACATCGTGACTAATTGTGAACTGGTTGATCTTACGATTTAATTGAAAAAAATTGAAATGACAGATGGCGCTTCTGCACTATAGTGGTGACGAAGTTATATACTCTCGACTTTAACCACATATATTTGCATAGTAGGACCTCCCAAGGTTTTTGAAATCTTCTTTAGAGATAGGCACAGGCGCACAGACAGCATCATAAATTTCTTTCAGCTTGTCTTTAGATTAACAACATCTGACGAGAGTCAGCTTATATACGCCATTAACACAGTAGATTTGTAGCACACCACGTCCGAACATAGCTTGGAAGTTGATTTAGTAATCATGTTTAAAATGTCTCTCATCCTTTTTCTCAAACGTTAAATACTCTGCACATTTGAAACATCTCATCAAGATTTACTCAACGGCTTGTACCCCAAAATATATTCTTCATTAACATATTTCACTTTGCATTAAATGATTGCATTAAATGACAATACTGATTGTACGTTATCAGATACAGTCTGTTTCATGATTTTATCCAGATCTTTAGAGGTTTTCAAATCTCTCAGAAATGCCATACTGACGTTATACAATCTTTTAGAGCAAGCAATGAATCGCTTACTCTCTTTCGTTAGTCCATTTTCGAGTAGAGATAGAGTGATAAGATCTTGTAACCTTTTCTTATTGTCCTGCAATAGGATGGGTTTCGAAAAAAAAATTATCAAAAGAAATTAAAATGAATAAGATCGACTAATGATATTTTAGTCATGAATGTGATTGAAAGCAAGAGAGCGATGCCCAAATTTATGGACACAAACGGCCAAGGCCAAAACGAATTTGTATGGCTATGCAATCTATTTCACAGTAGACTGCCAGTACCTGCAGTGTCCAGAACTTTAATACCAGACCAATCTAACCCCCTATGATGTCATCGTACACAAAAAAAACAAATCCCTTAAGAGCCCATTGAAACATTTGAAATAAATAAAAGTAATAGCCGTCTAGCGAAAACAACAATTTTTAACCACTGAAAATTTCGCCAGCAATTAGTCAAGTAGTTAATGAGAAAAGTGATTTTTTTCGTGAGACAAAGAACTCTAACAACAACAGCCCAATGAGCAGATTAAACAATCTGTGAAGGAGCAAAACAGAGAACGAAAAGTGATTGCCATGGCTTGCAATCGTCGAAGCTGTGTACAAACTGTTATATGCGAAACAAAATCTTGAATTCTTTATTCTTAAACATGCATTAATTTTTATACCTATCCATATTATTTGGAATAAAACTAGCATTATCAACAAATATTATACATGTTACATATATTTTAGAGACTGATATATCACATAGTAAATCAAATTCAACCGGAACAGAAATGCATGTCCCACATTATGTAAAAACTAACCTGAACATACGTTCTTCTCCGTAACCTTTTCTCATCTTCTGATACTGGTTCCTTATTCACCTGAGTTTTACACTTCAAAAAATGTTAAGTTAATTAGTATTGAATATTCTAACTACAACTGCAGCATAAAACCTTTGATCAGCAGTTTTGAACTTGATTTTATAACAAGTTTCAATTGAATTATTAATGTATTGATTAAGCTAACAATAATTTACAAAAAAAATATAGCCTCTCAAGATAAAGTTAGAAAATATGTACAGTATAGATTCCGGCGCGGCGGTGTGGCTCATTGTGCTAAGCGTTAGGAATACACTCGCCACCGCACCTCTGATTACTCTGAGTGGGTTCGCAGGTTCGAATTCCATGCGGGGATGGTTATGTGCGAGAGGACTGCCGGACTCCTCGCCGCCGTAGGGTGGTTCACATTACCGCTGGTGGTTATGGCTTCCTCCACCATCAAGTCCATGCTTCCAAAAATAACTAACCAATCCCATACCTGACATGGGATGGTAACGGACGAGGGGCCGTCATTTGCCATATGGTTAAGCCGTTTTATCGTCTTTCCTCTGCCCCAGGATAAATATGTAAATCCTATCCTAAGCAAAAAATAGACAGAGTAAGACAAAATCTATATTTTTCTAATAATATAACCGTAAATTCCTGTCAAAAACAATTTTCTCTGGCAGCAAACCACCAAGAAAAATAACATACACTACCTTTTTGACATCTCTGCTGGTACTTTCTGATGTTGAAGCAGAGCGAAGGCCCATTGCACTCTTGGCTTTGGTTGGTGTAGATCTGAGTACCATTGAACTGGAAGGAAGTCTCTGAGAGGATGTTGAAGTCACACTACTCCTACTTCGAATTCTCCTGAATGTAAAAATGCCTTAGAAAGAGCAAAAAAGATATAGCCTGTCAAGCACCTTGCTGAAATTGAAAATAAAGGAAAAATAGTTGAACAAAAGTAAGTTAATTGAGAGATAAGTTTACATTTTTGTTAAGTAAATAGATGAATAATAATAAGGCCACAACTGAAGAAATTCTCGATGCAAATTAATGAAGTGAAAAGATTCTTATTATGATTGTGTTTCACAGTTTTCTGAAAAACAGTGTGCATGTTGTTATGATGATAAAAACTTACTTTTTGTACAATTTTTCTGCAACTTTTTGTAACTGTATACGTTTTTGAGTATGTGAAACTTTGCCAGCATTTGAATCACCTGCTAATGATGACCGTCGGACAGGAGAGTCTGCTATGTTTAGTGTAGCAGGTGATGGTACCTGAACACACGATATATATCAAATTTTTCCCACATGAATATGATTAAGTAATAGGCTTCTCATTAACTACAATATTGTTCCAACACCAATAAAAGTGTTTCATGGAAGTGGATACAGAACTTTATAAATTTTCGAACACACACAATTGTGAGGATCGATGAAGTAAAGGTAAAAGAAATCGAGCAGAATAAAATTTGTAAAAAGTCTATTTTTACTGAACTATTTTAATCAAGTTTCATCACTATTGATTTGAAATGATATGTCGATTCTTCAGTCTACCTTTTCGTTAGAGCCAATCGAACTTGTTTCAAATTTGACTTGTCGTTCCACTAATCTTCTGCACATTCGATCATGTTTTTCTGCCGCTCGTTCATCAATATTGTACCTGTATTATTGAGCTATTTGAAAGTAGGATTGTAAATTTTTATATAAATACTATTCATGCCTTCAATGCCCAATTCCGAAGCAAAAATAATACTTCATTTAAGCTTTGTTAACAATTTTTTTTCGCTTCACACATGAAATACCAAATTAGCATGAATATAACACAGAGGTCTTCAAAGAATTTAAGAAATATGGAACGACTACCGTATATCAAAACAAGGCGTTTTCAAAGATTCCGATTATAAAAAAATATTTTCAATTTTTACAGCAGCTTAACCATGCCATATTCAAGCCTAACATTTCGTATAAGTTATAAAGAGATCTTGTACATTGGGTGTACAACGGAAAATTTTATTCTCTCAAATAGATTTGGATGAGCCACTCAATTTTGAACTCAATTTTGGATGAGCCACGACCACGATTTCCTGGCGATCAATGCATTTGACAACTTATGTCCGCAGACAAAATAATCAGGTTGTTAATAATGTTCAACGACATCGAAAAAACGTTTGTTTGGTAAAGCCTTAAATCAAACAAGTTAATTCTAAACGAAATAATAACATACGATATGCCGTGGTACGAAAGTTTATATGCTTCATCGAAATTTTGTAATTTTCCTGGACTAGGTAATGATTGATCTTCTGATTTCACATCAGAATTTATTAAACTTGCATTCTTAGGTTGACCAGACAATGAAAAATGTTGAAGAACATCAAACGGTTTCAAATGCATATCTGAAATGAAGAATAGAGTTGGAAGGGATCATACATGTGATTGGCAACAATCACAAGTTAATTGCCAATGTACAAAGCCTAAAAAATATATTCCGGACATCAAAGATCAATGATAGAAAATTTAGAATATGATTCAGCCATAACTAGCTAAATATAACCCATTGACTAATATATCATAACGATCTTTAATCCCGATTTCATAGAAATTTCCCGAGGCATTTCGCTCTTAAACAAAAAATTTCACGTTATAAGTTATTTAAGCAAATTCAAGCAACAAAATTACTGTTATCACTCTAGCACAGTGGTTCTCAACCGCCGGTCCGCCAAATTCTTTCAAGCGACGTAATGAAACCCGCAAAGCTAACACGACAATTTCACTTGCAGCATAGCAACCTCGTTGGAAAGCCTCTTGCGTATTTCATGAGTCGACCGAGCGAAGCTGAAAAAGAATTAAATGACGACTGAAAAACCCCTTCTTAAAAGCTTCTAATTTATTTGCGCTTCTTGCAGAAACTTCATTAGAACTGCATTTAACATATATAATATCATAGAAGACAGCAGCAAATTTCTCATTAATTTGGATTGTCTTCATTTGCACCGCCTACTTTTGTCGTAATTGATTTCCTTTGATTATGTTTTGTGTTCATGACATTTTTGGTTAATTTCCAAGGTTCGCCGGTACGCGAAATTTGTTCCGAAATTTTACCGGTACGCAAACTGATAAAGGTTGAGAACCACTGCTCTAGTATTCATCCAACTATAATGACATCGGCATGACAGGTTAAAGATTTTAGGTTAACTATAATTTCTAATATTATACTGACGAAAAGAAAATTTATACCTATCAGCTTTGCTGTAGTACATGATCGAATAGAATCACTGGATTTCACTGATCTCATTTTTGAGCTGAAAAAGAATGAGAAAATTTTATTTAGTACGCCAGCCAGAACAAAACCAAACATAGACGAGCCATCATGCGTGACACAACTATTGTTACGTCATAACTTGACTTTTAGTAGTTGTTAAGGACCTGTGGCCATGGAAAAAATCGGCTGTGTCAATCAATGATTTGACATTGAACATAATTATGGCCTAACAGGTCAAAGTTCTTGGACTACCATGCATATCACCACCGTGCCCAATAAAATTGTGTAGGCAATGATGAATCAGAGATTTCAATAAGTAGCTGCTTATAAAAGAGGCAAGTAGGTAAAGAGTAGCTCTAAACTCTTAAGTAAAAGTGAAAAATTATTGTGAATAAAATAAGAAATTAATTTTTGTCCAAATTTTTTATAAATGCAAAATGTTTTGAATAAAATACATACAAACCTCTCAACGTCGCTTTTAATTTTATCTCTGTTTCTTAAAGCTAGCAACTCCATTTTATGTAATGTATCTGAATCAGGAAATGCACAATTTTGTTCCAAAGTAGTATCCTTCGGAAGATTCGTTACATCATGTAACACAGATTCTTGCTCTAAATTGAGTTGCGTTGAGGTTTCTTGAATCAATTTCTTAAGTGTATTACCAGGTATTGACGAAGTTGAATTCGTTTCTAAATCAAATCCAAATGAAGGTATATTAAATACTGAATGATAATGAAATATGTGGATGTAACAAATCTGTACGAGATAGATGAAATTTCGGTGCTTCAGAAGGATGTGTACCAAGATGGTGCACAACCTGAACATAGCATGTGTACCAGGTTAGGGTTATCAGGTTGTGTGCCATCTTAGTGCACATACTTTTGGAGCGCCGAAATTTTTTATACCATTGTCATTACATAACCACTTTATAGCCAGCAATACCAGTAGTAGCCTAATATTGTACCTATCGTACTATTTCAAAAGTGTAAAATTTTGGCTGTTTAATAGCTCACCAAAAGTGTATGCGATCACCTAATTAATATTATATTACGGTAGATATTCATGGCTGTAGCCTGTAGTGCAGTGCAGTAGAATGATACCTATTTGAGATATTTTGAAATGAATAAATGACTTGCAACAGTAAAGTCTAATTTTCTATGTGTTACAAGGTTGGTACTACAGTTTGGAACGGTAACATGCAGTGGTTATTGAGAGAGCTTGACAATTACATTATTTGATGACTTTGACTTGATGTTTGAAAATATTTCAACGAACCTGTCCATTGTTTAATTGCACTTGATATTCTATCATTAAAATTTTCATCTTTGTAAAACAATCCTGCAGGGTTGATTGTTGGTAAATCATCCAAAATTGAACTGATAGATTTTTCAGCATTATCAGTACCTGCAAAATAAGTGTAGCGTTGTTTAATTTTCAAGAAAACTTATTAATTTCATCTTAATCATTGCCATTTATTGCATAACAAAAACCAGAGTCCAATAGAATGAAAGCCACACATCATGTTGTAGACCAGTGGTTGGCAACCTTTTTTAAGTGACGGACCAGTTTAGCCTGGCCGAACTAAGCCTCTGTAATAAATTCAAAGCATCAGAAAATTTATGTTGACAATATACTAAAAAACGAAAGTGTAATATTTATTGCGAGATCGGCACTTGTGCTATTGTTTCCAATCCCGAGATTGTATAAAACATGGTAAATATCGCCATATTCATTAATTTTCAATCTTTTTCGAACCGCGGAACACTTTTTAGAACATGAATTTGTCGCGGAACAACAAACGGAAATTTCCAATTTAGTGGAAACCATCCAAATAAGCAATAATCACTCTCAGGTTTCGCGAGGAATGAAATTACAACAAGACTCAAGTTGTAAAAAGACTTAACAAATTCATTACTTCAGAGAACAAAAGTACACTGAAGTACCAATGAGAAATATTTAAAACTGGCTGTTCGTAGCCGTTAATAGAAATGCAATTTTAATATGACATATGAACTTGTTTAGATGAGCACGCATCGTTTATTTTGGTCTGAATTTAGGAAAGGCAAACACGTATTTCTCCTCCAACGGTCGTCTTTCTGGCGTCAAAAATCCTACTTGTACTTCTAAATCTACCATTAAATGAATTTATTGCTTCTTTAAGGGTATTCTACGAGTCGGGTTTGCAAACTGTTTTAAATTTTCCCAGCTTTTAGGAACTTTCATAATTTACATTACGAAAACGAGTCAGTGTTCCCGAACATGATAAAAAATGGGGTTTGAGCAGTCATTAAATTTAAACTGTTACGTTTCCGTTTACATTTAGCTGTTATAAATATGCCAAAATATAAAAAAGAATTTGAAGACAACAACACGGAACACCAGCTTTCAGTCGTAGGGTTTGCAGATAGTAGATGTATATATGTTATCAGGGCCTTGTATGTTTTTAGGTCACTTTTCTGCGGACCGCTAGTAGCGTTTCCGCGGACCGATGATGGGCCACGGTCCGGTGGTTGCCGACCACTGTTTTAGACAGTATTGTCTTGTGCTTCGCCTAAAACATTAATATGTCACCTACTCACCTTATATTAATATCCTATTATTACAAGACAAATAAACATCTTTTTGTTAATGATACCTGAAATATTTGTAAGACCTTTCAGTTTTTAATATGATGACAGAGCTATTACAAGGGATGACTATACTTAAATAACATGATATTGAAGAAATTTGTCTCGCATATACCGTATTTTAAGGACCATGCTCTAAGTACTTTTTGTCTCAAAAAGCCGATGCTCATAATGTATGGATCAGGTAGGGCTTTGTGCTTAATTGCCTAATGCCTACACTCTATTGCAGATTGCGACAATTTGAAACCTTGGCCCAAACAATTTAAAATACCCCTCACTCACGGGAAACTCATAATAATATTTATAAAAAAAAAAATAATCAAAAAACAAATCAGAAAATCATTCATTATTACCTAGAGTTTTTGTCATCGAGTCCATAGATTGTATAAAAAATTCAAAGTTCAATTCTGATACCCGGTGCAGTATATGAGCAGAAAATTGAATAATTTTCCTCCCCTTTTTTTCATAAATCGATCGATCAAAGTCTGACTGCATCAATAGTAAATGTAACAACTGGAATTTGTGACGAAATCGATATTTTGGAGCTAAAAATTAAGTCATAGGTAGTATGGTTATGAAGGTAAGGTTATCGTCAACAAGAAAAATGATAATGAAAATTCCGCTCCCATTAGTGGCCAAAACTTGATTTTCTTGAACTGGGCCGCCCTGGTGTAAGAGTAAGAGTCAAAATTTCCTGTAACCTGGAAATGGGAGTGGACATAACAATTTTAATAGATCAGGAGCAGAGGTTCAGATTTCAAGTTTTCGGTGTACTACAATTTTTCCAATTCCTAGCCCTGAATGTCCAACTCGTGACACAATCAGGAATATCTATAAATCCATAGCATGGGGTAAATAACTTAATGAAAGTGTAGCAGTATAAAAATGTGTATAATAAAAAAGTAACCTGCTAAATTTCTTGGAGTTTTCAAAACAATATTTTGCCAATTTTTTGAAGAGTATTCGGGAATCTGTTCAAATTCAGTATTTGAAACAGCATAGTCAATATTACACAGGAATCCACCCTGAAAAGAACAACAACTACACAAATTAGATTCTATTCATGAATACTCAGAGCTATCTATATAGTTTGAAATTCAGTTCCTTCACAATTAAAAGCTCATCATAGCAATCAATAAAGGGCCTTCAATAACCTTGTTCTCGGTAAAATTACATAAAATACATAAATCCTTTAACAACCCGAATTCAACCGAAAGCGATGCAGAAAATCATTGAATATTTCTCACCACAGGGCTTGAACTTAATAAATTCTTTAATATTTCTACTTTCTTTCTATCGTCTGGTAAGTTTTCATTGATGTGATAGCGTAAAATGAACCTGACAAAAAATATATTCATTAAAATAAATTGTTATTACCGTATCTTATTATTAATTATTAAATTTATACCACGAACTTATTTCTCATTAGGGAACTTATTTCTCATTAAGTTTTTATTACAGAAAAGCTATCCTTCTAAAAATATGAATCTGAGCTGAATTAACTAAGAGTGCTTCCTATCAGTGAAATTAGGAAGCACACTCACCGCAGGTATTTAATTTGGTAAATAAATTGTTTATTCTTTTATTATTTCTAATTTGGTATGAACCAAAAAAATATTTTACATATACATAAAACTCACTTTTTTCCACTCAATAATATCAAAGGTATAGTTGTAACATCAACATATTCCAGTAAAGTCAGGTTAGGGTCAAACCAAACATGGTCCTAAAATATATAAAAAGATAGACATTTATTGTTAATAAAGTTCAGACCGTCATCAGTATTAATTTATTTATTGTAGCCAGTTATTTCAATACTTGCAAATATCAGTTAGTTTGGCATTATATTTAAATAGTATCAGTAAATAGTTTCAACTTTCACCATTTGTTGTTGTATCTTGTATAGGATAACATTGAATTAATTAGAATCTCAAGAGGTAGACAATGCCGAACCAGAAACATGTCAATCATTTAAAATAAATCCAAGACATTTGGATATCAGTTGATGCCTTACAGAATTGTGTTCAGATGATACTTTATAAGAAACATTGCCTCGCCTACTAAATTAAAACTTTGATTATTTCTTAATTTGTCCGTGCCAGCAAATGTTGATTGACGCACGACTTGTAAGTAACGACCAACCATCAGTTAGATTGAAGAAATAAACCTAATAGAACACACAAACAATAGTCCAATTGCTGCAATTTATGCCATCTACAATACTTGATAAAGAGTACTAAAAAGATCATCCAAATACCTTTTGTTCTTCAGTAAATGAACAATTATTTGAATTTGATTCCTGTACTTCTGTCGCTTCATAGCTGATTTGAATATCCGTTTTATTAGCAGCTGCAACATCAGATCTTGATAATGTGAATCCAGGTAACCTATGTAATGGAGTACCCTGAAAAATTAAAAATGTCAATTACTTAGATATTTACTTAGATGAGATAAATGTGTTTATATGAAATGGTTCGGTCTCGGTGCCATATCTCCGCATATGCCAAATAAACTATGACAATGACCTAATGTCAGCAGTTTCCAAAGAGAGCTAGCCTCAACGATTTGCTAAGTTTGCCCCTAAAATTAACAGAATCGTGTTAAACATGACTAATATATGATTGAATAATTTACATATCGCATTGATGTTTTATTGTATATTATTTTAAACGCTGAGTACATGAATAAATAAATTCATTTTATGTCTCTATGTCATTTACTTTTTGATATGTATTGTCTGCCTCTATTGTTACGTAACTCGCACTTACATTATACACAACACCCTACCTGAGATAATATATCAAAAGTGCCACGCCAAACCACTTCTTTCTGTAAACTGATCACGTTATTATCAACTTGATCTTCTGTCACAATAGAAGCGTTCCCATCCACAAAACTTGCAATAGCCCACAGCCTGTAAAATTTATATTAATATGTGTCAGAAAAACAAATTACAATAATGATATAAACAGTCAACATAAGGGCTTTTAAAACTGGGGGACTAACCCTCGACGTGTCACGAAAAGACACAATGGGGGTTAGCAAAAAATATTACTAAGCCAAGTGGTTTATGATGGAAAAAGATTAAAAAACACTGGTCTACAATAACCACCAATTGCAAACATTTTTCAACACTTCATTCACTATACATAATCTTAGCGAATCTTCCCCTAATACTCTGGCTGGCTCAATAAAGGCAAAAAAACACAATATAAGCATTACCTATCATCTGCTGTGTTATCTGAAATTAACTGTAAATGTCCACCATGCCATGAACACAATTTCTTTAACGCTCCAAGAATAGGTGTAATCTCTCTGTGAAAATAAAACATGATACAATTACCATTAGTCTCATATACAAAATTATACACAAAAATAACGAAAAAATGAGAATTGCATACCATTACTGTATACTCTCTGTATCAAGTAATTATTTTTGAATATAGATTACCAGACATATTCTTAATTGAGTCATGTTTAACAAAAAATTAGAATAAATCAAAGAAATTAATTTTGCAATACAGAACGTTTACCTAGATCGTCTCTCTAATTGATTTTAATTTCTACTTCCTAGTTTATTTTTTGCCTTGGGCATGATATATGCCTAAAATGACAAATTTCTAACCGAAACTATTCTAAATCATTCCTAATTGGAATTATATATATCAGCCAATTTCAAATATATTGAAACTATTTCACACATTATTACATACGACTTTCATTAACTGCATTACCCTATGGTTTTATTGAAATCCTCGTCTCCTCTGATGTCCCAGTATATGTTCAATAAATAAGAACCTGCAAAATGAAATTCAAACATGAGTCAGACGTTATTTTTAAAAAGTTCATAACAAAAGGACAAAAACTATCTCTACAACCATACCTGTTGTAGGAAGTTCATCACTCGCATTCAGTAATATTTCAGCTGCAGATTTACAAGATACGCTAAAATAAGATTTAATTTATAAATTTCTTTGTCACAAGAAGAAGATTATTAGAATCAGAAATATTCCTAATTGTGAATACAATAAATAATGTGGCAGTAGATGACATTACTTTGTTGATCATATGAGCCTCCTCCCATAGGTGATAATTTGAATAGGCCTAGACATTCTAAACATTCCAGTCTTTGAAAAGCCAAATAACTTCCTTATTAAACAAATGAAACCAGGTTGGTAACAAACCCCTATTACAAGTATGCCCCTGAGAAAAAGTATTATTAGTAAAACATAAATTTTTACAATGTTAGTATATATGAATGACTTTTTCAGAACATTTTGACGCCCAATATTTTAAAATGGCACATATCACAGAAAAATTAATATAAACAATATTGAGCATGAAAAGTTCAAAACATTTTCCGTACTGTATATATGATTATACCAATGCTGAATTTTTTACCTGTGAAACACATCATTAATGATAAAATCATTTTCAACTGATAAAACTTTCCAGTGAGAAGATTGTTTCCTTGGTTTCTTCTCGCCATCAAAATCTAATTCTATATTTATGCCATATCTCACAGGTTTTCTTGTCTGCAGAATCCAGTTTATATCTAAATGCAGAAAAATTTTGGCCATAGCCATTCCAAAGTTTCACATTACTTTGATATTATATTGTGCTTCAAGTATTGGCTATGTACACATCACATCAAAAGGTTAGAGATCTCAGGTTCAGAAGCCGTGCCCACCACCAGACCAGTCAGGAAATAGGCAGAATAGCAGTTTTGAGTACAAGTCATCCCTGAATCTCATTCTCAATCAAATCAAGTCACAAGTCAGTCAAGTCAAGTTTGTTCAAGCAAATTTCATTTGACTCAAGTCAAGCCGAAGACTAGGGGCTCCCTGACACTGCTAAATAGCTCATTCTTTATCACTTAACCAAAGTTGGGATAAATTTAAAATCATGTTATATGAGACAAGACCCAATGAGTAAGGAACAAAATGCACACAATGAAGCAATCACGAGAAAAATGGATATTCAAAATAATTTTAATTACATGGTGGTGAGGCATTCAACTCTTTACTAGTTGTTTGATCACCACTCAACTTTATTTTGAGGTCATTGTCACCTGAGAACAAATTGAAAATCAATAAAGTAACTTTAATATCTGAATATAAATGATGGAAATGTTGACAAAGAGATTTCAGTCTAATTTTAGATTAAAGCATTTTTAAAATGTACTCACTGACTATATATTTGCAGTTTTTAATTTGAAGCAGTAAAGTCTGCTTGAGATTATTTCAGAATGAAACTATATAATTCAATTACACTACATAACAATCACCGTAACACACAAATAATAGTAGTCAGGCACGGACAAAACTGTATAATCTACAATTACAAAACCATAAATATATTCTAAATAATATTTCTAATGATCGAACATCAAACAAATTCCGAATTGGGACATGTTCTGCATGTTCAAGAAAGACTGAAAGAACACAAAGAAACCAATATAGTATCTCTAAGATCAAATTAAGGCCATTCTCATTGTTGTTTTGTCATAATGCAAGACATCAGTCAGTCAGTTGTTCTGAATGATAATTTTTCAAATAAAATCATTTTAAATTATTCCCAAATTCTGCAATTCAAGAGGTGTTCATTATAGTGTAATATATTCAATATTTAATGACGATTTGCTTACCCTTGTGAAATATTTTCACTATGTAAACATCCATAACTGAAAGATCAGGCAACTGGACTACGGTAGGTACAAGACACGGCAATAACTGAATAACCAGACCAGGCTGCCAGAGGTACGGTAACCAAAGGATGTACGGTAGTCTAAAATCCAGTCTGCTAGTACCGTACACGGCGTACAGTACCGTACCCACAGCAGTAGAATGTACTGACTGATACGAATATCGACTGCGATGTCTTTCTGTCTTCAAGTCTTTTTTTATTAAGTCTGTCTTCAAGTCTTTGTTATGTTACAGTAAGTGAATTCCTAAACCCATGAATCCCAGCATTTAATCATATTGTTCATTTTTATTTACAGTCAGTGTTTTGATTACCCGCCAGTCACCCAGTGGTTGAACTTTGACACTGGCTCAGCTCAAGAGCACCATAACAAATCTGGCATAAACACACAATGTCTTCTGACACCTAAAGAAAAAGCAGAAAATATTAAATATTATTTCTTTCGAATATAAACTGAGAAACAAAATACAAAACAACCGTAAATATTACGAAAACGGGCACACAACAAGAATAAGGCCGACTCACACACAGAGTCGTGGTAACGGTACCGGTATTGTTGTTTTGAACGTCAGAATTTAGTACCATTGTCGGCTGGAATTTCCTGAAAAAGTATGAAAGCGTTTATAAGTAACGAAAAGAAATTTTGCTACTATACCTGCTGCAAAAAAACGGAGGCGCCGCAAAAGACTTTACTGGGTCCACCCCATACGTCAAAGAAGAAATGATTTAGGTGAGTTGTTTCAGTAGGTTTTATCACTCTCATTTTTAAAGTATCTTTGAATTTGATATGTCATACCGGTTCAGCTACGGTGTCAGTATTCTACGGTTCCTGTCTACAGGATTTGAGGACTGAATTTAAAATTTCGAAATCGGGTATTTTACCTAATAACCGCGGATTTTTCGAGATTGGAAATATTCGAAAAGTACACAAATTCATTTTTATCATATTGACGCAAGAACATGAAACTGGGATTTTTCTTAACAAACGCAGATGTCTTTCGTAGAATTACAAGTACCTGAGTGAACGTTTTTGTAAAGTGGTTTTACCGTTTTGGTCGTATCGCTCCCTCCAGTCTTTACAACAAAAAAACTGTATTTATTTATTTGTATGAATGCTTTAATATTTATATTTGTTTCGGTTGCTAAATCAGTAAATGTATCTTTCTCTTTCATTGTCTTTTTTACCTGTGACTTTACGCAGAGCTCTCGCTTGATATCAGTGGGTGACGAAATACACCCTGACCAGAGGCGTAGCTTAGGGGGGGCAGTGGGGTACATATGTCCCCGGGCGCCAAGGTACAGGGGCGCCAAAATGGGGCTTGCAAAAATTTCACAAGGGTAAAAAATGGTCACAAGCAAGATCGCACCGGCGGCAGACATCTAGTCTTAGTACATGGCAAACTGCACACTTGGTCAGACCACTTACGACTGCCGACGTCATCACGCACATAGCTCGCTCACGGTCAGATTTCCATCGTAATTACATGGCCAAAAAATCTGGCCGGGAAACAAAGCAAAATTTGATTTGGTAACGTTAGGTAACAAAATGCACCGCGTTAATTACGTGGTTCTGTATCGTTAAGTTCTTGCCTGCGCACTCCGATGTAAGTTGATATTAGTACTGTGCTGAAGACAAATGGAAACGGAATTTGGGTGAATGATGTTAATACAGATTTTGAGTAATACGTGGTTTTGTATTTCGTTGTTGTCAAAGTACCGTACTTTGCGGCAGAGTTACATAAAATATATTATACTGTGCTAAAAGACCCTAATGCCGTTTTCGACAATTCGTCGAGAATGCACAGATTTTGTAAATTTCTACGACACGGACATCAATGGACACGAACTTTTCACCGAAATTGGAGATTGCAGAATGCTGCTCAGTAACAAAACTGTAGGTCAACCAGAAACTCCTTTGACTCTTCTTGGTTTTATTGTGTCTTTTGGAGACGACGTTTTACCTAATCTGCGAATCTCTCCACAAATTTTGTTAACAATACCAGTTTCAATTGCAAGCTGTGAACGGTCTTTAAGCAAATTGAAACTTATTTTGTCGTATTCGCGTGCATCAACGGGACAGGATCGTTGTTGAAAGAGAAACATTGGGGGAAAAAAACAGATTTTGATGACGTGTTAACCAGTTTACGACAGTGAAATTGAAAAAATGAACATTACATTTGAATTTACATATACATATATTTTTGAATAAATAATAAATATATAAATGAATATAAATTTGAATTCACTTATCGTCACGCTAAAAACCGAATTGCGTAAGTCATTTTTGGCGGTTTTGAGTTTTTTCATAAAATAGGTATTTATGTAATGCTGCGCACCTGTCTGTTTACTCAGATTTTATTTTAAGACTTCCAAAACCCATAAAAATAGAGATTTTGTATGATATGCAAATTTGTTCAATTGTTCCGTCATAATGAATTATCTTTGTTTAACGCAGGACTATTGTGACGTCACAAAGGCAAAATAACCTCGGCGACGGATTTTCGATTTTTTGCATCTCAGATTCTAGCTTAGCGCCAATAATTTTCAATTTATACTACTGTATAGGAAGGCGTGCACTTGTGATATTCACTGTCTGAGTCCAATTCACCTTGGTTGACTTTTATATAATGGTACATTACTGTTTTATTCTTTATATTTAACTTTAGTCTTATTTCGGTGGATGTGCAGAGCGTGTTATATTGATGAAATATATATTTTTAAACATAAAAAATAATGTAATTGAAACAGATTAGCTATTTTGGATTGTTCGGTTTTCAGGACTGGTACATATAGTCAAGTTGCAAAATTGCGTATGTCCCCTAGTCCTAGACACATTTTTTCCTAAGTCACAGCGCGCCATTATGACGTCACATGACTGCGTCATACAAATTAACTTAAATCCGGCTACGATCAAAAAGTTGAACTATGGCAAATTAATGGCATAGCAGTATCATTAGGAAGTTTTTTTACGTTTTCCTCAAAACAGCTAAATATGACTTACGCAATTCGGTTATTAACGTGACGATATATAATTTGTTTTTACATATACAATTAAATGCAATAGAAAACATGATTAAACGTGGGGGTCGGGGCGCCAATTTTATATTTTGCCCCGGGCGCAAAATATCCTGGCTACGCCTCTGACCCTGACTGTGCTGACTCCTCACGACCAGTTGAAGCTTTTTCTCGTGCCGTTATAGCTGTGCGCTGCCCCTTTGGCTTCGATTGTATATGTCAGTTTCAAATACGCTCACCTGGCTCCTTCCTTTTCCCATCCGGTGTAACTAACTTCCTCTACTTTCTCTCTTCAACAACAGCAATTCGAGAGGACCTCCTATACTAATAGGCTCCGTTCTTATAATGGCCCATCCCGTGAATAAAGCGGTCCGCTATCGTTGTGATTCTTAGTTACAATCCACATTCGCTACACCATTCCATGTTGGGTATGGGGTTAGTTAACCAGTTATTTGTTTCAGACGCATGGACTTGATGATGGGGAAAGCCGTAATCCGACTACTGAATGCAACCTTCTGGATGGAGCCCAGATTGCTAACAATAAACATTTAAAGACTGACGCTATTCAACAGTATTGGAGTTACGGCGAAATGCTACCTAAAATATTTAACAACCAACGTTTATGACAGTATTGAAGTTACGGTGAAATTCTATTTAGGACTGACGCTTTTACACAGTACCTTATTACTGTTAAAAAGCGTCAGTCTCTTGAAACGTTCAAATAGCGTTTCGTCGTAAACTTCCGTGAAGTCTTTAATCAAACTCCAACTGCCCTGCAATGATGTTAACAAATCCATGAATTGAACTGCCCATCTATATTCAACAAAATTCTCAATGCCCTTAGTTCCCTTTTAGAAACATAAACCACACATTTTACATATTTGATTCCGATTATATTTTAAAACAAAATTTTATCTCAGAAAAAAAAGCAATTAAGAAAAATAGACACACTTTTCAACGCAAAAACTAGTGAGCCATTTGTGCTGCCTTCGCATCATTGCGAATTAATCCACCGTTGTTCGTACCCGAACAGTAATATTTCTTGTGAGCAATAAATGTGGAAAGACTGGTAAAACGAGCATCGCAATTTTTGCAGTGTTGGGCGCGAGATTTTTGAGCTGAATTTGGAACATCGTCTTTTTCCTGTGATGTAACAGAGACGAAACCTTCACTATTAGAAATTCTTATTTCTGGTCTCGAATTTGGTCTGCTCGCCTCCGCCTTATTGTTGCTGTTATTGTCATTGTCTATGTTTAGACCAGATTCGGACGTTTTATTATTCAATGAATCCGTAGACGGAAAGTCAGATTTGGGCTCTTGTTTCACAATGGCAAGAGCCGTAGTTCGCAAATCGATTGTGGGATAAGGAGGCATTGGTGACGAGCGTGAAGTTGACAGCAAATGAGATTCTTCCAATTTGTTACTGAGATCCAGAGGAGAAGCACGAAGACGCGGAGTAATTCTATTTTCCGGTGATAGGCGTATATTATCAATAGGCTCTTTTTTAACATTGATAGCCGCCACACAACTTTGTCTTGTCGGTCTTGCATTTGACGATTGGGGCTTTGTGTTTGAACTACACGGGCTTGTGGATAAACGCCCATTACGAGTTTCGTCCGTAGAACTTTTGCGGGTTGTTTCTGTGGGCGTCAAGCTTCTTGTGGCAGGGATGTTTGTAAATGGTAAAGTCGGGAACAAAAGACCAGTGTTCTGGATACCTTGGGCCATGCGCTCCCGTAGCATGGTAAGATATTGGTTTAATATTAAAGGTTGCATAAATGATATCCTCGCCAGCATATCAGGATCCATTTGACCATACATTGGAAAAGGCATGGATGTGTTTTCACTCGCTGAGGAAAGTTTCCTTTCTATTTTCGATGAAGGATCCAACTGATTAGGCATAGTTGAACGATCATCTTCGGGATCAGTAGACGGAGTGCTTCTTTGTGGACTCCAGGATATATGTTCTGGTACAAAAAGTGAATTTCCAGATCTCGCTATTGACTCTCGTAAATTGGATTCCGATTTGCGTTTGAGAGGTATTTTTGTGGATGCGTGCAGCGATCTAACACTGACGCGATCCTTTCTACGACTCTCGCAGTAGTATTTTTTGTGAGCCATGTATGTGTCGTATTTTGAGAACCATATATTGCATTCCTGACATAAATGTTTCTTTGTCACCTGGAGTGCTGGATTCGGCGAATTTTCCCTGTTCGGTGAAGGGCTTTTTGAAGCTGTAGTGTCAGTTGGTTCAAGGTGAGATGGGCACGATTTTCTAACTGAATTCATTTTGACTGTCGAGCTGCTTGCTTCTTGACACGGTGGTGAATTCCGTACTGTTTCCAACGGCGTAAGATGAGACCTTTTTCTGTACGTCATGCTGGAACGATTTCCTGCGTTGCGCTTTCTGGATTTGGTTGACAAAAATTCGGTCGATTCAGGTAAATCGTCTGATTGTGGATGCGGCGCAAGGAATCCAATTTGTCCATCGTCGCTGACTTTGTGCATATGCCGACTTGCGCAGTAATATTTCTTGTGTGCACGATAGTTAGCAGCGCTTGAAAATCGTATATCGCATTGAATGCAATTGCGTTCTTCCTCTGAAGGTCCGCCAAACAATGCCGCCGATAATCCTAACTGTTCAGCTGCTAACATTTTGTTGGCGACCGCTGGACATGACACTCTGCGTGTTTCAAAAGAATCGTTTGCAACTTTCAGACTGGCTTCTGGTTTTGCACGTAGGAAACTAACATCTCTCTTTGCTCTTTTCAGTCCTTGGTGTAATTGGTCTCCATTATCCATCTCTTGCATATTTGAGCTTTCTTTTCGTTTTTTGTTACGAACATCTTCGCTGCTATCTGGGCTATAGCGGTTGGCTTCTGCAGGCGAAGTTGACGTTTTGGGTAACTCCAATTTGGGTTGCATTGCTCTGCTAAATGCGGGCGAAACTGAGCCGGACAAAAGAGACAACTGTGGTGCGGATACAGTCGAAACCTTACGACAATTCAGTCTGTTTGTCTGTCTCTGTGGGGGCTTCATTGGTGGTGGAGGGGGTTGAAGGGGTGACGGTGCTTTCTGTGATGTCAAAGTTGTATGTGTAGTCAATAAATGTCGCTGCAAAGTAATTACGTCGGGAAATCCAAGTCCACAAACAATACATGAGAATGCGTTTTGTGAAACTGGAACAGAATTTATTATCGAATCGCCAGTCGGTCGTGATGGAGTTGAAGTAATAACAGGTGGTGAAATGTTGTGCAAATCAACATCTGAAACGTAAATAAAAATGTTTTTTTTTTAACAAAAAAAATATAATCATGGCATGTTCACTCATAACAATTGGCTTCTCTATCGCCATTATCTTTATGCTAAATCGCTTGCGTGGCAGCTAGTTTTTCTTATATAATTAATGTGTGATCATTTATATAACAAATAGACAAAAACGGATGCTACAAAGCATAATGTTATTACAGTAAGTTCCAAAACTTATATGACACGAATAGTCCTACAACTCGTCTTTATTTCTCTACGATAAGTTGATATAAAAACATAAAATAAACAAAAAAAGTTATTTGAGTATTCAGACGATATTATCGCTGCCATTAAGACAGGTTTACTGCTTTATTGCTATTTGAGATACCTACCATCTAAATTATCTCGTGGTGGTGTCTTATGTATATCACGGGAAGATGAATCATTGCTGTTTTCGCTCAAACTCCTGTTGATTACTTGTTGTTGTAGAGACGACGATGAGGGTTGATCCATTGGATTTGTGATGATAGGAGGATAAAGAAATTGTGGCAAGTTACCCACTGTTACATGTTGGGAGCATAAATGTAAAACGAGATCAGATTTTTGTCCAAACGTTAAATCGCATGAAGGACAAGGTAGCAATCCATCTTTAGGTTGTTCGACTTTTAAATTCTCAGCGTGAAGTTGCATGTGGTTCTGACAAGTTGCTGGAGTTGGCATACGCTGACTGCATAATAAGCAAATGTATTGCAAAGAATGGACCTCCATGTGTATCTAAAAATAAGCGAATAAAATAATGTTTTCTTGAGTTTGAGGGAATAGTAGAAAACGTGATTATATTTCATAACAGTTTACAATGCTATTTACAGTATGTCTGAATGCGAACATATACAAGTGTTCTCTCAAATCGCTTCCCGTGAGCAACGTTCAAATTTTGTGAATCGTGAATTTCTAGGAAATTCAGACCTTTTTCTTCAACAAATATTTCAAATTTACTTCCGATATATTCAGGTCAGCCTTGTCAATGTATCAGTTTACATATTGTTTATCAACAAACACTTTTCCGGCTAACGTGTATATGACGGACTAATACTACCCAACGGATGTTATTCAATTGATGATATATCCGTATTCCTAATTTTCATAATTTACTTACTGTGATAAGCTTAAGTTAGGACAAAAATTTTGCATAGTGAATAAATAAATTCGAGGGTTATTCGAGGTACCGACGCCGCCAAGTTCATAAAGATGGAACGTCATAATTATGATCCGATTTAGCTTATATTGTTTTGGAGTGCTATTTTCGTGCAACCCATTGAATCCAAAATTGAAATTTGCGCAGACAACCGGTAATGTAAAAGGTTTGATATTACTTCGTTTTGGTCTTCGTTTCCATAAATTAAAGCATTCCTCACTTGATTATCCTATTATTAACGCTTTAATAGTGAATGAATATTTTTACTCTCCCCATACCTGTAAACGTTTTTCGTCGTCAAATTTTGCTTCGCATAAATGACATTGAATGTCTCGCCTTTTCCCGCTACAATAATGCTTGCTGTGAACTTCATACGTGTCTTTGTTTCGGAATGTGATGCCACATTTCGAACATTCGTGCTTGCGTTCTGAAGGAATACATAAAAAAAAGATCTCAGTAATTTCACCTCAACGGCAATATTTGCGACATCTCAAGGCACGTGGGCGATATATATATATATTAGTAAGTGGGATTATTACGTCTGTGTGAATCCAAATAATTATTTGAGTTATAACTACGTCACACAACTGAAATTGAACTCTCTGTCTACCTCACCATAACTTTATTTCAAAATTTGCATACCTGAATCAAATATATATACAAAGTCATAAATGATATAATCGATAGCTTTGTTCAGAGCTACGTTATATAACTCAATACATACAATATAAAACAATTTGTCCTTATCAACTAATTCCGCTAATTACGAAAGATAGATAAATATGGATGCGATGTTACCACATACCAATATTTAAATTTCTCGAATATGGCACAATTTTTCTAGACGTAAGCTTCCTAACTTACCTAGTGCTATCATAGGAGTGTTGAATAAATCTGCTGCACTATGATGGCGTTGATATAATTGTTTTCTGGGTATTTGCTCACTATTTGGACTATGCATTCGTTTTGGGCTTTCTTCGTCTGCATTCCCATTGGCACTGTAACAGTTAAATTAAAAGTATAAAAAACATGGCAAAAAATGGTAAATATTTTAAATACTAAATATACGTGCGAGGCGCAGTGTGAGGTTCACGGTGTTTTGTAAATAAAAATGGGATTAGTTATAAACAATTGTCGCTTATAACATCATAAACATATATACGTTACATATTTCAAACGTGTAGGCCCGCAAAATCCTGAGATAAGCGTTGAGTGTGCTACTTATACTACCAAAATGGTGGATCGTGTATTCAAAACATTCATACCCATTTTAGAGCACATTTCACAAATTTATAGACTATGGTAGATTCGAATGGTGAATAAACTAACCGGAAAGGTGATAATTGTGTCTCGTTTCTGCTTCCATTTTGTATTTCACCTGCGATGTGTAGTTCATTAGTATTCATCGAAGAATATTCAGTTTTTACTTTTGTAAAATCGACAGTTCCTGCAGAAACTCTTCTGCATCGATTTGTTTGGTGGGAAAGTACGGGTGAACTTGAGCTCAAACTACCACAAGATGCACTTTTGGTTGTTTTGGTCATTCCTGGTCTTTCTGCGGGAATTGGTGAATTGTTTCCCGGCAATGATTCAACCACTGAGTCGCAGTCTGTCATTTTATCCACTGGGCTCACGTATCCGTTACTTAACATGTCACGCTGACTTGCAACCTAAGATTGTAAAATGGCGGTTGTAAAGTGATTGCTAGCATTTATTTGACAAAAAACATAACTCGTCTAATAACGAAAATTGAACAATTAAAGAGAAACCGCCTTTAAAAATTTAAAGAGATTTAAGTATTTTATCATATTCTGTTTTTATTTATGCTTCAAACTTGTGTTGTTTTGCATCACATGAGCCAATAGGTTATTTGTTATTAAAATCGTTAAACAATGATTTGATTAACATCATTTATCTTGCTAACTATCTGTCAATCTATCACTGTTAGCTAACAAACAACCAGAGACGCGGTAGTACTGAAAATAATTTTATCGTCGGCAAGTATGATATGAAAGGAAAGGCGACAAACAAACTTAGGCGGCCAATCATATTTGATATATGCATGGCAGTACAACTGACATGATACTTGCAAAGATAACATCTGGACTCTGAAAATGAATCATGGATTTGGGCATATTCTGATCACAATATCAGTCAACATTTGCCTGGGGGAGATACGATCTTCAGTCAAGAGTTAATTTCCTAATTTCCCGTGCTGTCTTGATTCTAATCAGTATAGAACAATCGTCATCGATCAGCAATAAGGCTTACCGAAGATGGCGCGTTTTGCGTCAAGTTTACGCTTTCATTGGAAGTAGTAGGCGTCATTTCGAAAGTCTTCACAGCTCTCTTCTCCTCTACCGATTCCAGCTTGATCTGTGGTCGTGATGGTGACACAGCTAACCTAATTTTATTATCCGTAATCGCAAATTCTGTACCAGGCATATCTGTAAACGATAGAGTGATTGTATAAATGAGTAAAGTTGTATTTATATTAGTAATATACTAAAATAGCAATTCGATTGGATTTTACATTATATTATTGGGCGTGTGGGCGATGTTGCTAGAAAAACTGATGTAGACAGTCAGGATGTAAAAATAAACAACTCGTTGGCGCTCCTATAATAAGTAACCAGAAACCAATACTATCCGCAGATGATCTGACTGATTTTGTGATTAAATTTATATATGACAATCAGGATGGTAAGAAGAAACAGTCTGTCTATACTTTAAAACCTCGCCATCACTTAAACATATCCATAACAACCATACATCTCGTCGTAATGAGCTGAATTTGAATACAAATTTACCGCGCCAACTCATATTTTTTACGCATCTTTTCATGGCAAATATCCTAACTATTATATTTGCTAATCCGACGCCCTTGGTGACAAAATATACTCGAATATTGTGATGTTATAATGCTAAACCTCCATCGTAAACCAGCGAAAAAGATAATATATCCAAACTCTATTCAAAAAACTGATCTTGATTAAATCGAAAAATAATGTTTCATAAGCTGACTATGAAGTGCAAAAATGCCAAAATTTTGAGAATAATAATCATAGAACGAATGTCAACGAAAGTACCGGTAACGTTACGTCGCTGAGCATTATTATATATTTAAATGGGAATTTTCTGTACCGATGAATCTACCTTGTTATCTACTTTCAATAAACGTATTCATTAGCCTAGACCTCCTATTTGGTTATATGTAAATAAACACTTTCTAATGGTTTCTAACGATACTGTGATACTGACACCAACGCGAAGTAAACGCTCTCGCTGCTCAAATTGTTGTGCTTGACAGCGACAAACAATCGAGTTTATGACGAGCGTTGTTAAGATGAAAAAGAAAAAGGCTGAAGCAAAGGTCGGGCATCGGATAATTTTCTATCATTTCTAAAGGATGCCATCTTAAAGGAATGAGATAATGATAAATATTATTGCGATGGAAAGATAATACGCCTCAGAGTTCGCAATATGATATTATAAAGATAAGCAGGCAGGATCGCAGATTGTTATCGGAGACCTCAATAACGATGCAAAGAAAATGTGCGACAGAAGGGGAGGGAATTTCTTTGTTCGCTTATCGAGTTCTTATCTTTCCTTATCTGCAATGTGGCGCTTTGGTAATTCTATCTTTTTCGCCGTTGTCACCGGAACAATAGATTTTATTTAAAATGCGTAGATACCAAAATAAAAGTGATAAAATTTCAAACACTTGTAGCATAGTCTATTGTTCTTGGAGCACTATCTAAGATATATACCTCAAAGGCATAGATAAACTAAAATATTGTGATGAAAAATATAACAAGAAAGCCAAATTTGTATGTGAATTTTTTCGTATCAATTTTCTATGTTTTAGTATGTCGCTATGTTCAATTTTCTAAGCAAGTGGTAACATCATGTGTGAGGAAAAGCAGCGAGAGATTGAGTACTACTTTTACGGAAAACTGTTTAAAGACTTAAGCCAATAGAGGACACATCACAAAACATCTTTCTGTTAGTTTATTTTATTTAAAAAAAAATTTAATACATTCGTCACACCACACAGTTTATAATGCGTTAAAAGCTTTCAGGCATTCTGTCAATTTTGTCACAGCTAATTCGCTATGTCGTATCATATCTTAACTACTCAATCAAGATCATATTTTGACAGCATCAAATACATTCAACCACAGGCCGACGAAAGCGGACCGAGAAGTGCTGGTCATCCTCTATGTTACATGTTTGACAAAGTGGTACATTTCGTTAACATTATAGATTTTGGTATTTGATACTGATATAGATGGAGCCAGTCAACTTGGGGGCATGGGTTCAAACTTTCTTAGCGTCTGATTGGAAACGCACGACTTGTGTGACTACCTAAAAAAATCTGCCGTCTGCATAGCCGACCACTATATACCCAGAAAATGAGATCATTCAAATTTTAATTAGTAAAAATATGCTCAGACCTTTTCCTAACTGCTTTTATTTATTTATGAATACTCACAATCTAAACTTCTTTGATGACTGACGATAATCGATGAAAGAACTGAAATAATGGGCGCTCCAGAAGTATGTGTACCAATATAGAGGTAACTAATTTTGTTCGTTGCTTTACATCAAGTTGTGTAAAGGGACTGAAGCCTATGGGCTGGGTGTATATTGACTTGGTTAACACTGACAGACCCCGAACTCGTGATAGAACTAAAATATGGAGAATCGGAATAAAATTATGGTCTAACCCTAACCTGGTACACACTCTACGGGAGTACCAAATAATGTACCTGCCTGTTATTATCGTGATTCGCCACGTCCCCGTTTCTATTAAATTTTGTCTTTCCGTCGGCGTGATCAGTGGAACAGAAATATTTATGATTCAATTTCAGGATCAGGATGAGACTCCAAATCCGACCAAGAAATGTACTATCGTAATTGTTCACACAAATTGTATCAAGTGTACATAAGTGTGCGTCTGAAAAATTTACATTATAATATCGCTAAAGCTAATTTGAATGTTCCATGAATAACTCGTATACCTTGAATAATAAAGTGATATAAATTGATACGAAACAACTTCGATATTCCAAAATTAAAAAGAAATTCTAAAATTACAGCCAAAAGATATGCGAATCATTTCTGATTTCCATGACTGATTAAAGACAATGTAATCAGAAATCATTTGTTACCAAACATGGACAATAGATTAGTGGAATCTCAGTAACACGTTTCTTCATCGGATCATGCTAGGTTGTCAGTAAAATAAAAAACATTTTCTGTATGAAAAGGACACACGCATTGCATTAAAAACAAACAAAAGACTGCCTTGAAACTTTATAAGTCGACTTATATCTCTAAAAACAATCTTTTCATCTAAACACACTGTGACGTACGATGCTCAGTTATAACGATCAGCCCACAGGCGTTTTTAACGCAAGAAACCACTGTCTATCTTTCAATTTTGCAATACCAGGACTTGGGAGCCAAAACCGAGATGTAACTCTGGTATATGGCTAGGCCAAATATTATAACGAACACAGGTAAAGAGTTAAGAAAAATTCTCCGTCAAGTCTCGCCTGCCTACATAATATAAAGATGATATCTAATCTGAAGTTAAATCTGTCAGCTCTAAGAATGTGCCTTACTTAGTTTACATGATTGTGTTCACCCATCTTTCTCTTTTATTTTATTTTTCTTGCTGATTAACTCTTATATGACGGCAGAATGCAATTGAATGTTTGTAGAAACTTTATACAAGAAAGTGTTAATTAGTTCCGAATCAAAAACAGAAAACATCGAATGCGACTTTTTTCAATGAGCGGAAAATAAACTAAAAGATTGACTTTCACCTTTAAGACATAGAAATGAAACAGAAAAAATATCAATAAGATATAACTATGTTTAAATTAATTAAGAAGTTTACGGAATGTCAAAGATAAAAAAGGATTTAAAATTCAATTACACAACCCAAAATTTTCATTTTGTGTCTTTATTGAGTAAAATTCGTATTACAGATATACTATTAGAAGACAATTGCCAATGAACGCAGACTAAATATTAAAAATAAAGGAGAAGAATTCGTAAATTCATATTTCAAGATTGACTATTTCCACTTATTTTATAAAAATATTATCACACGACACAAAATTTTGATTTTATGTCCCTCTGGAGCATAAAAGTATGTCAATAATAGATAATTTTTAATAAACACAAGATGAAACTTTGCAAGTTGCTATGGCACCCACCCACAGACGTACATCATCATTCGAAATATTTAAAATATTTTTTACAAGTCTGTATTCATCTATGCTTGATGTATGTCGATTATAACATTTGGTTCGCAATCGCAAGATTTTTCTTTTGTTTCTGTGCGAAATAAGCCTTCATTAAATAAATTTCTTTTGCATTCACGTAGGAACATCGACAACAGTACGAAACGAAAAATGACACTGCACGAGGCAAAAATTAACCTTTTCAAATATACTCCAGTTTTCATAAAACATCAATCATTAACAGAAATGATAATTTTGTCCTTCTATGCATTGAACATATAACATATTCCAATCTCAAACGGCATTGTTATTCACAAATTCTTTGCGTCAATGGGTTAAACACTGAGGCAAGGGGAAAATCTGAGATAATATTTTGAATGATTGCCCGAGTTGTTGCCTATTCAAAGCGCTCACTCAACTGCGACAGATCTGCTCTATTCTGTCGATAAGGCCAACGCTATCGTTCAAAGCGAATTAATGCTGTCATTAGGGTACTTCTGACGACATACCGCCTGTTGTATTGACGCCGATCTTATTTAGAGATTAAAAACGAAATTGAGAAGGCGACGACGGATGGAGTTGCGATTAAGGATGATACTATAACCCTGCGAAGATTTGAAAAGAAGTATTTCTAACATCTGGTACATGAATACAAACATACAAATTCTAGCAAAACTACTATCTTATTTAAGAATGATAGACGCAACTTAAATTGTAACGTATCGTATTCCATCGCCATGTTATTGTGTATTTTAACAAAGAAGGGCAGTGCCACACCCAAAATGTCGACTACCGTACCCAATAGCTCGACAACGAATTTGGCAAATTTTTCATATTTTTTTTAAGTAAAATTTAAAGATTTATTCGTAGCTATTATATATTTTTAAATTCGTCATCGAAATACTCATTGACCAAGTACAAATCACAAACTTGATATGTACAATGGCCGCCTACTCGAGTATAACCTACCTTCAAGGTGTAGAGTCGTAATCCACAGGCGCGAGAAAAGCCTTGATCGTTTTGTCGATCTTATCTATTCCATTACCTTAATCATATAGAGTACCTTCCATTACCATGAAAATGAAAATAGCCGGTTTTCAATATCCGCAATTGTAAAGCGTTTCAAAATTGCTTTGCGGTAATGGCACAGTTGGGAGAATGATAATGTTGTTTATTTTTCATATTTTTTA